AAACTATTTTTGAAAAGTCCGAATATGAATTCCCAACAATAATTCAAGTTAAAATTGATAAATTATATCAAGACTTACCTTGTACGAGATTTTTAAATTCAATCGTTGAAAAAAATTATTTATTTGTTGAAGATTATAAATATCAAAGACTTGAAATGTATAATTTACAATCTATGGATTTAGAACTAACATTCCATGAAATTTCTCTTCCAAAGAAAACGAGTGGAAACCCTATTTTTTCCATTTCAAAATATGGCAATCTATTAGCATACTATAGTGGTACAAATTGTATTTCGATTCATTTAATGGAAAATGGACTTAAGGTTGCGACGAAAGAATTTACTGACGCATTCAAAGTCCTTTCAATTTCATTTATTAATAATGATGAAAGATTATTCGTTGTCACTGAAGAAGACTCTGAAAAAGTCACCGATGAAGTCACAATAAATATTTGGGATCTTTTTACCTTTAAATGTGATGTACACAAGATAGTCGATCATTTAAATATTTTTAGTTCTTTACAAAAGTCTAATTGTCATTCAGTCGCTTTTTCAAATGAATTTATACTTGCTTTTTTACCAGATACTGATAGATTTATACATGCATATAGTCCAGATAAACTTATACGTTTAAAAGATACCATTAATCAAGCTCAAAAAAATTACTCGAAAACAGACGACTTTAAAGTTATAAAAGAATTTAACGTTAAAAAAGAACCCTGGGTTCATAAACGAAAAAATATTAGTATTTCTTATCTTGATGAAGAGAAAACCATTCAACTTATTATTGGAGAAACTACAGTTCAAGTTTGGAGGGAAAGCTCTATAAATAAACAAGTTTTAGACTATATTTGGATGAATCAAGAAAAATTTACAACAGTATCTCTGAAGAAAGATGTTTTCAAGCGTGAATTTTATTTAAGTTTATCATGGACTGATAATAAAAATCAAGAGCATAATGAGTATATGATTCATTGGCCAAATGAAGCTCATGTCCTCAAAGACGCATGTGTTGCTATGGAGTATCTTTATAAACGAAGAGATGAACCTGTAGGGACAAAAAACCTAAGCAAATACAAAGGTTTGGTTGCAAGCACAGAAAGACTGATTAAAACATGCATTAAAAACAATCCGGATTTATGGAGTTTATCTGAAGTACGATATGGCATCATGGCCAATATCATCCGATCAAAGAGTATACCGTTGTTAAATAAGATCCTTTTCCATTATCAAGAAGCAGTTGGCATTAAACAGGATAAAATGGGAGTTATTAGTTATTTGCATATTCCAAGGGAATATGAGTGGCCTATGAAAATGATAGAAAGTTATTCGAAGTCTGCTAAAACGATAGAAAGTAATTCGAAAGAAAGTGATTTGATGCTTGCTATTAACAATACTTCAGATGGTTGTCGTAGGGATATAGTTATCGTCGCCATGTTGCTCGAATATTATTCAAATAATGCAGAAAAAAATACGGGTGAGTTAATGCATTTTCACACTAGAATCCGAAAATTTATCACTAAAGAAACATTCCGTTACGATAGGTTGGATGTTTACAGTGACCAAGGCTCTTCCTTCGCTTAACAATCGTACCTTTGGTATGTAAAAAAACATTTCCACATTACGTAGTCTTCATTCATCATACGTATAATTTATCAGTTAATGATATGTATATCTTATAAATATAGAAACTTATTTGAAGGAGCTATTATACAAACCATGCTTTGGATCCAAAGAGGAATACGTAGATTCAAAATTTGTGAATCAAAGTAAATTAAAAAATGGATATAGATCGGAAATTTGTTCATTAAACGTAAGACCACGACTACTTTTATTAAATCAAAATACGTCTTTTATGTCCTCATTATGGAATACATTTAAATCTAATATTAATTGGAGATCAAAAGAAACGGATGAAGAAATTTCACAAGTAACTACTTTACGAGTAGTTCCATTACCAGATTTTACAATTTATCCAACAAATGCGACAGATAAAACATATAGTAATTCGATTCTTCTGTTAAAACTTATAAACCTCATATTTTGGCCAAGAGTATATTTGGTTCATAACGAAAAGAAATTTAGTCCTTTTCTAAATCTTATAGGAAAAAATACAAGTAGAAATGTTTATGAATTATATGATAATCCAGCAATGGAAGCATGCATTGATTTTAAATGGGAGGCAGCGAGAGCTCATTTTTTACGTCAATTGTTAATATTCATAGTCTTTTCGACCACTTTTGCATTAAATACTGGAATTATCATAAATGATCACGCGATTTCTTATTATTCTTCGTTGATATTATCCTTTTATCTTGGATATTATCTTTTAGCGATGGAAATTGCACAATTATATCACGAGAGAATGAAATATTTTGGCATATATAATTTTCTTGATCTTGCATCTATAATGCTTGCATTAATTACGATAATGAACACTTACTTTTTAAACATTGGAGATGAAGATGTTAATCAAAATAAAGAAATCATTATTCCGCAAGCGTTTGCGGTCTTACTTTTATGGTTTGAATTTGTAAGTAGTATACTTATTAAATTTCTTTTTTAATATTCAATGATTTTAATTCCTTAATTTATTATTTAGTTATTCCTGATGCGATACTTTAAGAGTAAATATCTATATTATATGCTTTTATTTATAATTAAATTTGTGTAATATCAACTTAATTTTTTTTTATATAGGAACTGCAACTTATATTAACATGATTTTAAACATTTTAAAAGCTATTTATCCATTCCTAATTTTTATGGTAAACTTTACTCATATCATTATAAGTAGAAACATGATATAATTTATTAATTAATTTACCTTAAAAATATTTTGTAGTTAATTGTGGTTATTGCTTTCGGTCATGCAATGGTATGCCTACTTTTTTTTTTTATCATAAGATCAATCTATTTGTTTCTTTTCATTTAATAATAATTCAAAATTTTTAGCATATATTATTAGAGAAACCTACACTTCTTGCACTGATACCTAATGGCAATGCATATAACATCACATCATCATCAATTCCAGACTTTGAAAACACGAAAATTGAACAACTCTTTGAACTAGATAAACCTATTGAGAACTATTATAGTAGCTTTTTAAGTTCTGTTATGGGGGTTTATTTTTGGATTCTCGGAAGATGGGATCAATTAGAAGAATGGGATTTCTGGCCAATTCATGTAATTAGTATAGGTAGATATTTCATATCTAATGTATTATCTTGCTGATGATGCGTTGAAGATTTAAATAAATTATTATTTTTTTCATTTTTAGGCGCAAGTATTTTAATGGTCATCATTATGCAGAACTTGTTGATCGCATTTATGACGGGTGTATATGAGAATGCCAAAAACAATGTAAAACTAGCGGTGATAGGTTATAGAGCTGATTTGATCGCTGATTATGAAACATTAGAAAAACCATTCGGTAGTTATAGAGGGAATCGGAGATATATTTATTATGTTGGAAGTTCTAAATATCAAGAAGAATGGATGGCTAAAGCTGAAGAATATAGGAGTACTCATAAATCAATATTATCTGAATTATCAAATTTAGATGATTCGGATGATGAAGATGTTACGAATGAAGAACTTGATGAAAAATTATTTAAAATACAAAATGAGTTAGCGAGTATTAAAGAATTGTTATTGTCCAATAAGGATAAATGAGCTATGTGATGGTATTGATATTTCTATATTGTATTGTCTTTCCACTTATATATTCGCGTAATTTTATTTTTCAAAATTTTTAACATTTTTAATATTCTAATGGAAGATATTTTTTTTGTAAATTATTCAAGATAAACTTATTTAAAAAATAAAATTTGATTTAGCCTTGCGCTGCTCCATTTTTGAAAATAAAATATTTGAATATAATGAAAAGAATATTTAAATATTCGATTCGATTTCAAATGTCGTAATATCGAAAATCATATGGTCATTTGATCCATCGTTTATTTTTTTTTTTTTTTTTTAACTTTACATCATTTTACGGTTCCGAAAACCGGATATTGTTTATCAAATCTGACATATCGTGATCTACAGTATATCACATCTGAATATGTTAAAGAAATTAAAGTTGTATTGATTGATGTGTCAAAGGCAAAGAAATATGAAAAGTAATATTTGATTAAATAAATCTCTTTAACTAATTTTTTTTTATTGAGGTCATAACAAATGATTCCGCAAGATTAATGATTCAAATATAACAAAACTTCGGCGATTGAATTAATGTTCAAACGAAGACAATAAATGAACTTTAAAGTTATACTTCAAGTTTACTTTTAAGCTATTTGCATATAAATAAATATTATCAATTAATTTTAATTGCCTTCACGTTCTTCTTCTAAGGTATACATGTATGATTTTATTGGTTTAGCGTTTTTGGAGGCTGATAATGGTTGCGATGTTATTTTATTGCAAAATAAAAAAAAAATTCGGCATTAGAGAGAAAATTTAGAGATGATATTTGGGATGTCGGTCATATAAATCGTCAATTTTTTTTGAATTTGTAACACGATCAATTAATCTATTTGATAATTAATTATAGTTAAAATTTTAAAAAAAATTTATACAATTTAAAAAGAAAATAATATGAAGTATTATTAAAAAGTTAAAACCCAATAATGAAACTAAATATTTTCTTGTATATTATGATTTTTTATAATCTTATCTTTAATTATGAAATTTTTGACTTTCGTTAAAAATAAAAATAAAATAAATGAATATATAAATAATGTACAAAAAATTAAAAAAAAAAATTGAATAAAAAAAAAGTCAAAGATAGATCGGGAGGACCCCCAAAAAATTGTTTGCATATACATTTTATTATTATAAAAACTTGCCTATTTTATTATTGCATTAATTCGTTTCTTCTGAAAATTCCTCTTTTTTTTTGCTTGGTAGTTTTAATTTAATTTTTTTTTGAATATTATTTTATAATATACTTGTTATCTATCTATATTTATTTGAGATTTATAAAAATTTGAATATAGATTTTAAACATTATGATATTAACGTATTTTTAAATTGTTTGCGGTAATTTTTTTTGGTTGTATAACGCGTGCTATGCAACAAATACTAATATTTATACTAATATTTAACAATGTAAAAATATCAATCCTAATAGTCTAATATCAATAACCTTTTCCTAATATTTTAATACCATAGAAAAATCTGTATTTTATTATGTAACATTTCTCAAAATGAGAAATTGATATTTTTAATTTTTTATTTCTTATTCTAAAAATTCAAAAAAAATATACTGAAAAATTCTTCTACAGATACTTGAGAATCAAAATATTATTTCATAGATTTAATGTTACTTGCATGTCCTAAAAGTAGTGGAGATTTCTTTAAGGTGTAGAAAGCTCATAAATGTTACTTTGCTGTATCAGAAATTTTTAACCGTAAAAGCTGCTAATACATTTCACTCAGTTTTAAAATCTCTTAAGGTTTATGATAATAATAAGTGACTTTGGTAAAGGATAAATGCGATAAATGCGATGCTTTATACAATTAGCTAGAAAGTCTCTTAAAAATAAAATTAATGCAATGTCCTATGAAAAACAGATATCACACTAACTTTTATATCGCTTAGTTTCATTTTTGAAATATATGAAAAATTTAATATTTCTAAAAAATTGGTATTAATTTTATTAGATTGTGACTGGTTGTTAATTTATTAAATAATTTTGTATATTATTTCATTGACTTAGTGAAAACAAAAAAGTAAAAATAAATAATAAATAAAGCAAAATTGTAATTTTTGTTTATCGATCGAGTAAACTTTTATGTACTAGTCATTATCTTTCCAATTTCATTTCTACTAGATCATAAACTATATCATGAATGTGAAAGGAATTGATCGATCTATGCATTCTTTTGTTCTCTAAATCATCGTCATTAAAATTTTTATCGCCCTTAATATTTAAAGCTATAATCTGATTCAACGAAATTTTCAAACTTTTCTGGATCCTTATCGATATCTTTCACAAATCTACAAATTCCTGATGATCTATTATAATTACATCAAGTTTATTGTAAGCTTCATTTGCGTCATATTTAAATTTAAATGATGTATCCCGATGAATATTTATTTCATTTGAAACATCCTGTTCAAAACTTTCGTCATCTTTTTTCTTAGAGGTAATAAATTCGCAATGATCGTTATTTTTAAAATGACTGTAAAATAACGCTTACCTACATCGAACCGAACGTGACAGCATATTTTCCATCATGACTAATGGCTATATAATATCTATTCTGACCTTGGACTTTAATAGGTATTTCAGAAGACATTTGATTTGCTTAAAATGTCTTTTTTATATCAAGAAATTCGTGAAGATTGATTGAACGGTTCACAAAATCATGAAAATGAAGATAAATTTTTAATCAGTATTGCAATTGATTTTATCAATAGAGAATTATTTAACCAGAATGACTCACAAAAATTAGTCAAAAAAAAACTAACCTTCAAAATTACTATGTATATAATAAGGTACTTGCATAATGTATCTAAAAAATAATTTAATGGAACAAAATATATGCAATATTACTGTCAGAATTATAACAGAAATTAACTTAGAATCCTTAAAGTAAGAATAGCTTTCAGCATAATAGGCAGAATCATCAATATTCAAATTAAAAAAGAAACTACAATACTTACAATCGATGGAAAACCATCAAGTAGATGTCAGTTTTCCTTACAAAATGCATTTGCATCTACCGTAAATAAAACAAAGGTCTAACTTTACCAGAAATATCTTTAAACCTCGATCAACAAATCTTCTTAGCCAGTCAAGCATATGTTGCATTAAGCTAATGCTCCAAATGGGATAAAGTACATATTGCCTCTTTACATTCTGCTTTTATGACAGATGAATCAATGATTAAAGAATACAAACGTCTAGAATTAAAAGCTGTGACTCCATTACCTTTATAAATATTATTCATATCAAAATAATCTCATAAAAAAATTCCTTAATGAAATTCAATATAAAGACAAAATATTTTAATATAAAATTATCATTTAAATATTATAATTAATTTAAAAAAATATTAATTACTTATTAATTAGTAAAATTAATTTTATAACATAAAAATTTTGTACTGATTTTATATAACAAGTCAACATAAATAATGATTGAACGTAAAATAAATATTTTTTAATATATACATAATTGAAAATAAATTATAAATTATAAATTCAACAAATAATTAAATAATAAATAAATACAAAATAATTAAATAAAACAATTAGCTATAAACAATCAAAATCAATCGCAAATCAATCAACACCGAAAGAAACTAAATCAACTCCATTAAGCAGGGGAGACGAAGTCCCCTAGTCTAACTCTAGTTAAATAATGTTTGAAGACCGCAGTTTTTAAAAAAAACCAAAGTTTTACAAAAAGACTGCCGGTCTTTTGATTTTAATCACATAAGAAGAAGACTGAAGAGGACTGTGTTTATTTAAGTATAGTCTTTCAAAATAAAAGACCGAAAAGACTAGAAATCCTTGAGATCTTTACTAAGAGGACGTCATTATAATTTTTTGATATCTATTTTTCATATTTAATTGATGACGATAAAAAAGTTTATCGGACATTGGAATTAAAATCAATCCATGATCTGTATCTAAATCAAAATAGAAAAAAATAAAATTTATATCATCGGATGTCACGATTTTGCTTGAAAAGACCTTTTTTTTTTGTTTATTTTTTTTAAAAAAAAAATTTTATTTCTCGAGAAATATTCAAGTTATATTTTGTATAAATAAGAGTATTATTTATTGAAGGAAATAATTTAATAATTATTTTTTTCATTTGAATAAAATTCCAACGCTTATTTATTTTGGTATTCCATCAATGCATTTTCAAATTTCAATGAAATAATTTCGAACTTACAAAAATGCAAAACTTATTAAGGTTACAGTTTTTTATTTCGTTATATTTTCATTGCATTTTACACAAAAAAAAATATTCGCGCCAGGTGAAAAAGGAATTTCTTTGTTTTAAAATATTTTAAATATTATGTTTCGTTGGAAATACAAAGTATTAACTTTTTTACATAAACTATATTTGAATGAAGCAATGGAGTAAAAATATTGAGACTTGCAAGAATATAGATTCATTATCTTGAAGAAAAAGTTAAAAAAAAATAATACAAATTAGCGACAAATTTATAAACTATCATGATAAATTCTATTTTAATTCTATTTCTGCATTAAAAAATAATTCTGCTCTGAGAACGAAGTCGCTTGAAAACTGCAAATTATAGTTAAATACTGTAAATTGCAAGTTTAAAAAACACTCCTTCAAAATTGTCAAAAAACTATTATGACAACCATAAAGGCTGCGAAATATACAGATCATTCCATACCACTTGTCGTCATATCTTAGCAAGTCATTCTACATTGTTTCCATGATCAGAGGTTGACAGCATTTCCTGTAATGAGAGCAGTGGCAAAGAATAGGAATTAAAATTACATTGATTTGATAATTATAGATAATAGTTTATAAAACAATCAAGCGAAGAACCGTTAGTATTCATACTTTTAACTTTTTTTCGTTTTTGAAGAAATATATTATTGTTATAATTATATAAAATGTTAGGCGTATATAAATAAAATAAAATAAAATAAAGGTTGATACTCATATAGATACAAGGCTTTTACACTCTTAAATGTTACGTCGATTTGCACACGTCTATAAATTTGAATTCAATTTGTACATATAGATTTATAAATGAAACTCGTTCACCAGTTATATAAGATTTAATTGAAATCTAGAATAGCTTCTTAGCTTTTATGTTTCTTGCACACACGTTATCATAAATATAAAATTTTACGAGAAAGTTTATTTCTAAAGATTTAAACTTGACTTTCAAATGACCAATTCGTAGAAAAAATTTATTATTCAGATTTATCCAATCTTAAAGGAAAATGCTGTCTACAATAATCTTTAATTCAAAAAACGTCTTTCATCTCTCTTAGGACTCGACCGATTCATGAAAATTATAAATGAAACTAAGGAAACACCACACCGTGTAATCCTAAATGATAGGACATCAAAAAATAGTAAGACGCAGTATCAGTTTTTTTAACAATTTTGAAACTTCAATAGTAAAAGTTTTGGTAAAATCTATTTTTTAGTAATTAATTTTTTTTGTTTATTGTTCGCGTTCAAATTGTGTGATCAAATGAAAATCTCGCTGCGCTTCGATTAATCGAACCGAATATTGAATCTCGAGATTAATCGATTCTAAAGTCGATTTTACATTTTGGAATCGATTCCAATCCTTAAATATAGATTCCTTTTCTTTTATAATAATTTTTATGAAGAAATCAGGATTAGCATGAAATATGATATTGATTTTGGCGAAAAGCGTTGCTGGAGCAATTATGCAAATTAATTGTTTTATTTTGTTATATGATTCGCATGATGTGGTATTATGTAGTAGTAGTTTATATCGGTATTGCCTCAAGGACTTCTGAAATCAAATATTTTTAAATTAAAACTTCATAAAATTATGTGTACTTTATGATTATTCTTCATGGCATGGTTAATCGAATAAATAAAAAAAAACTATTCTATTTATCTTATTAAGAGAAATAAAGGTTATAAATCGAATATAATGAAAATATACTTAATTAAATCACGATTATGATCCATAATATAGAAACATCGTTTATTGACCAAAAATAATCCTAATCCCAAGCCAAGTGATAGTATATCACAAAACCAAAATAACAGAGTGATGTGACACTGACAGTCAATTTATTTCACGTCTAATCAAATCATATGGGACCTTTGCAATAGAAAGGGGAAACTACCAAACAATGAAATCTAAAAAGACAATGATTATTTTATTGTGATTTTTGTGATTAGTAATAGGTAGTTTCCCCCCTTTCTATTGCAAAGGTCCCATATGAATTCACATTCAGAGATGGGGAAATTTCCGGTCACCCATATAATTAAGATTATGAAATTTATCAAGGTAAGAACCTTTTGATTTGAATATAATACTTTGAATCAATGTTATTTTTTTCTATGATTTTATTTTTATTTAGTAATTATCTCATATATTGCAGTTCTCTTCTCTAATATTCATAATTTAAAATTTGAAAGATTATTAGTAAGGTATGATTCTGTCAAAGCTCAGCTCACCGATAAGTATAATGAAATGATTATAATAGCTGTACGATAATAAATATATCGTTCCTAAGAATGATATTAATGTTTCCGCGAAGAATGATGTTGATGCTGAAATGATTATAATGATTATAAAGTTGTAAGACTAGTTATATATAGTTTATATATAAAAAAACACTGAAAAGGCTAGATACTCTTGATGAAACATAACTTTCAGCTATCTATTAACAAAATAATATTTGGTATAAATAATCAAATGATTTTTTCGATAATTACGAATTGTTGAATAAAAAGTAATAAAAAAAGCAACAATATTGACGTAAACTTGTGAATTTTGAATTTTCTTTTGTCGAAGCTTGACAAAATCTATAAGACCCGAGCAAATATTTTCCTTGTCTGTAAGGATTATGTTAAACTCGGATGTTTTTGCAGCTCTTCCCACTTGCTTCGTATAATTTTCGTTGGAGGGTGTTACTACTAGAACACCAATCGTATCTTCATGGTGTCTAAATAACGTGACTTCTAGTACTTATACGATTTCAACGCCTAAAATAAAACGATCATATGTTTTAGCTGCCATCCTTAATTGTATGAAATTCATGGATATAATTAGAAATTACCAAGGTTTTTTTTCTGTCCTTGCATTGGATCACAAATGGGAATCTTGAAAGATTCCTGATTATATCAATGCCGGTACGGGAATATAACGTAGATTTATTAAACAAAATGAGGATTTGCGTCATTATCGTCAAGAATCAAGGAAGAATGTTCACAAGTTGTATTTACTGCGGCCACGAATCGCTTTCTTTCAATAATAGTAGGCCGTACACGTACGCCAGGTCTGAATACCTGCCTGATAACTTTCGCAAATTGTGGCCTCGAAGAGCTTTCATTTCCCAATTTTACACCTAGTGGTAGCGTAACTTCAAATTCATAACAACTGGCTGTCATAAGTCAACTATAAATTTTAAAGACCAATTTTTAACTCTTGTAGTTAACATCAATAATAAGACCGCCAAGAACTACTCCGCTTGATCCAAAATTCCAAAGGTGAAGCATTCAAATCTATGGGTATAGAGATGATGAGATTGAAGGATAATATTTTGGATAAGAGTAAATTGTTAACAAGATTAAATCCTTCAGGACAAACTTTGATTACACTTGGAGCATCAAACGTACTTGAACAGGTTATGGGAGTATTAGAACATCAATTTGCTTTCCGAACAACACAATTTTTTCAAAGTCAAATCAAAATTATATTGAATGATGATGAAAATATTTCTACGAAATCCCAATGTGAAATAATATATACATCATTTGAATATTTTGTGTTATCGATATACATATTTCGACGGTTATGGGCTTCAATTAATAGTATGTTCGATTTCAAATTAAAATCTTTTATGTCCTTAATTTTTATAATCTTGCAAAAATAACTTATGATGTCATTCTTTTATTTAATGAAAAAAGTTTAGAGGAGGCTGATAAACATTTACAGTAATTAATTGAAATGTTGGACATTTTGAAATTATTTGTCGAAAAGGCTTCATCCTTCAATTATTAAGATGACTTGACTAAATAATCTAAGAAAATATTGGAATCATTTTAACTTAATGAATATTCTTGGTCTTTCCCATTAAAAGAAACAATTAATAAATGAGAGAAATTGAAGGAAAAATTATGAAATCATAAAAGTAAGCTTAATTATGGATCTAAATTTTTTTAATCCAAATTTTTATTTATATTGATTCTTAAATTATAGTTAAACTATCCTGAATGCAAAAAAAACAAATATTTTAAAAAAAAAGCACTTATTTGTCCTAATTTTTAAACCAAAATATATCTTTTGTTTTCATAAATATATTATCTGCTCATTCATTAACAAAACTGCCCAAACATTTCGTAAAATGAATAAAAAATTGTCACAATAATTAATATTTGATGAGTAGTAATAAAAATTTTTTTTTGATACGTTGCAAATAAAAATAAGTTATGTAAAGAATCGTAAAATTTAGTTATTATATTTTACCTACGAGGATGAGTGACAAGTTAGTTATTTGAAAATAACGGTCGGTCCCATTAGCTACATTATATGTATAAGTAAGTAACAAGCAATAAATAATAATTCACTATGTTTGATTGTGGCTTCGAAGCATGATAATAAATGGTTTTAGCGATGAATTTTATTTAAACTTCATTCAGTTGTGAAGCTTAAATCCATAATTTGAAGCCTGACCCGGCCCAGATTTAAAATATATCAGCCCGATAAGACTTAAAAAATTAAAAAATATATTAAGTATCAGCCTGGTCAGTATTTGAATTACTTTGATTTTTATAATTTACATTATTTTTTTTTTATCTTCGGCAAAATTAATACGAATTTAAGAAAATCAGAGATAAATTTAACGAAATCAAATGACATCCAAGTTTATATTTTATATCATTTAAAATAATGCTAGTATTTCGTTCTAAATGAATAAAATGCCCATTTCAATTAAAAACACAATAGGATTCCCTTTTAAAATATTAATTAAAATACATACATTGACAATCCGTTGGTTTGTTCAGAGTTGGTTTTAAACCTTGTAAAAAAAATTTTTTTTGTTCTATAAATAGGAGATTTTGTCTAAAGAAAATATAATCTAAGAGAAATAAATTTATTTCTATGGATAAATAACGAAAAGTAAATATTTAATTATTTATTGTAGGTGATGATCGATAGGAAGGCTCTTTTTTGTCGTGGGACTTGTTGAACCGGAGCACCACCATCAGCAGTAACTGTGCAAGGTGTGCCAGTACAAAAAATGGAAGGGTCAGACTTGAGAGCGACATTAACTGCATGTCTAGTTCCAGGAGTATATCTGTCATCGATTGTGAATCTGCTAAAAGGGTAGAATAATTTTTTTTTTTAAAAAATTTAATATTTATTTTTTTAAAAATAAAGAATAATGAACTTACACGAAATGTAAATTGCAACAATAACATCAGCGCTAAAAAACTATTTTGACAGGCTCAACTTCTTCGATAATAGAGACAGTAACTGGTTCTAAAAAGGCGATTAATAATCAAACGATTTATTAATGAGAATTTTTAAATAGTAAATATATTTGAAAAGCAGAACTTTTTGATTTCCTTTTTTTTTGTACTAACCATCAGCAGTAAATCTTGCAGACTGCCAACTAACGATTTGTTCGGAACCAATTGGCCAAGGACCTGAGGAATAATAGGTTAGGTCCACTTCCTTGTGAATAAATAAAGGTAACAAAGATTGCAATGACCAAAGCATATGCAAAAACTTTCATTTTATAATATTTTGTCGTTGAAAAAAAAAAGAAAGCAGCTCATTTATATAGTTTATTTTTTTTGTTCGTCATTACTGTGGCTTTTCGGAAATAATCTGAATTTTTACCGACAAAAAACCTTGAGCTCCATCAATTTTTGAAGCTTAGTGCTGGGGGGTTTTTTTATTTAATTATTAGCAACTTTTTTTTTAAAAGGTTTAAGTCTATAAAAGAACGGTTTGGAAAATTAAATTTGCATTTTGTGTATTTTCTGTATCATTTTAAGGATTTGGATTAAAAACAAAAAATACATCATAAATTAGATACAGTATAAGAAATGACTTTCTTGAGATCATTATTTAATAGGAAAAAATTTTAAAACTTAATATTATTTTTTAAAAAAGTCAAAGCATAAAAAAATAAAAATAAGAATAAAAATAAATAAAAGAACAAATTGTATGACTAATTGAGGATAGAAGGTATTATTATCTGTATAATTATCAACTGTTTCCTGATAAGTAGATTTCACAATTTACAATACATTATTTCGATAATTTTCAGGCTTGATAATTATAAATCAACATATTTTACAAGAAACAAAAGACACAAAGTTTACTCGAATTACTACTATTTTGTTAATTCAATAATAAATTTTGAATACTGCAGAAAAGTAATCTGCTTTCGTCAGGCGTATGGCGTGGCTTACCTGATTTGTTAAAACATTTAATTTAAGTTTCAACGAAAAATCTACACGTCGTGTTTTCATTATATAAATTGATATACTCTTTTTTATATTGATCTCGTCTTGTAAAAATAATTGAAATGTCTCAAAATACCGATCTTTTGATCTTGGGACTATGTCATTTAAATATAAAATCATATAACGGAGCACACATATGTTCACTATATGTCATGACTTTTATACTGGTAATGTTCACCATACGTAGACTTTACGCATGCTTCAGAAAGAATGATCACACGTATATATGCTACATTTACTGTAAGAAACCTTAACATCATCATTATTTGCTGTAAGGTGGAATGTATCATATTATTATCGTGTTCACCCATATGATGTAGACGATATCGAATAAGCAACAATAATATATTATAAGCAAGTAATAAACTATTTTTTTATACATTTGTTAATAATTAGTAATTAAAAATAACTATGGAATTAATAAAAAAAACTAGCTGTCATTTTTGAAATCTTGCGATTGATTTGATTTGTTGATCTAATTCTTAAAATGGTTATGGTAAAATGTACAGTATATACAGTAAAATAATTTTTATAAATTTTGAAATTAAGTTTTGGGTTTTAATCTACACAAGATTATAATCATTATTTCAAAAATATAACTTATTAGCATTCAAATGTAATAAAATTTGGAAATAATTTTAACTGTAATACGATTGTATATATGGTTTAGAAATTTCAATTTTTTGTGTAAATTTTTTTTTACATAGATATTAATTTTTTTCAAAATAATTGAAGTAGCTCGTGCGTATTAAGCTAGGATGCTTTTGGTTTATGTTTTGAAAGTACATTTGATTAGCCATATAATGATAAAGAATGATGCAATTATTTATCAGCCTTAAATTTTTTATACATTTTATTATAAAATTTTGATCGGTCGTTACTTTACGACGTGACTGTACTTTTATCTATTTTTTAAAATAAAATTTATATTGATTAATAAAAAATATATAAAATACCATCTTTCAATGTTGTAGTATATTTTAATAAATGCAACTTTTTAATATAATAATAATAGAATTAATAGTTTAAATATAATAAATACTAAAATAATGATGACAATATAGAATAATTCCTTCAGGTATAAACATTTAACGAAACCTTTTCGATAATTGAAAAATTAAGTTAGTAATCGGGTTTTAAGGAAAAAAACACGCTTACTTTTAGACTTCATAGCTAGATCATCTTCATGATAAAGTGAAAGTTTAAACAACTTCAAGAAAATATTCTATCCTCAATTAATTTTTTATCTATTATTAAGAGTATTGGGTTAGAACTGCTGATGTAGGTGTCATCTTCAACCCATTGGATCAAATTTAAGTTTAAATATGACAACTTAAATGTTGCTTTATTGAGAATGTCTTGAACACATTGTTAAATTAATGATCAAACTTGGTATCCTAAAAATGAAGATAAAAAATTAATGAACAAACCAAATTTTATAAGCTATTAATCTCCTCTTTCAATATTTCCTTTTCCTTAGTCAATATTAAACGTTAAATTTACTTCGTTCAAAATAAATATAAATATTTATATTGCATTTAATTAATTTTGTTCATTTGATATGGATGCGCCCACAATAATTATAATAATAGATCCTTGTTAAAGGTTTTCCTTTTTATTCCTTTGCAGATAAATAATTCATACTTTATTATGAATAAATAAATCACTCATTACAAACTGATTTTATTTTATGTTACAAAAGTTTACACATACTCTATAATCAGTGTGAACATTGCAAGAAATATATGATAGAATAATTTTTAAAAAAAATAATATGGTTTCATAATTTGATTTGGCTTTGAATTGCCAGCATTACATACAAATTTAAAATTAGTTAACAATGGAGGCAATAATTAGGCTAAGCTTTTCAAGTTTTCTTAATTCATTTACTTGGATCACATGAACGGTGAATTTTGATTTTCCCATCTAAATCCTGAATATCCGGTGATACAATACTAACATAACTATTATTACAAATATTTCCTACTTTTGCTAAATTTGCAAATTTTGCATTGAAGTCTTCAAAAGTGTTAAAAGATATTTCAAGGTTATGGTTAATAACAAGATTTTCAATTAATTCTGGTTTTTGTGTAATGAATTTTAATTTGGGGTATTTAGGGATGAACATATAACGTATTACTTGAGTAATAGTGATACGAAATCCAGTCACATATTCCTTGACGTTCCATATAGCGGAATGGCTTCCAGGAATATAACATGTTCTGCGTGAACCATAATTGTCAAGGTTATCATTAGCATATCGATGTGACCAAGAATCCCCTGTAGTTGGACTACCTGTATAATTAATTTCCCACTCATGCGATGAGAATTTAGTATTTGTAGCACTTGTTACACTAGCTGTTAATTTTGGATTTGCTCCTAACTCTCCAGAAAAATTACTTTCATTAACATTTGTATTTTCAACAGGTCGATTCACCGGCTGTGGATATTTGTCTGATGAACTTAATAATATAATATTCTTTTCATTCTTTTCATTAGGTAAACTTGAAATTGGAGAAATACAAACATTAAAAGAATCAATGTAATATCCATAACCGCGTCTTTGAGAATTTGACAAGTTGAGACTAAGCATTTTATCTGTACAATCATATACTCCAGGTTAGGGTGAACATAATTAGCATGGAGATGAGCAGCGATGGTTAAAGGTTGAGTATGATTTAAATCGACAGTATTAACGACTGCATAAGAAAAAATTTTAATAACGTCTTTTTCTTCTTTTCCATTACCACCATCACCACCACCACCACCACCACTACGACCACTACGACTATTACCACCATTACTACCATACCACTACCATTACTTTTTTCATTCCTATTATTATTTCCATTGTCACTTCCATTACCATTGCCAACTCTATCATTATTAACATCATTATTATTGTCATTACCGTTATCATCTTTCTTTTCCTTCTTGATAGATTCTTGTTCTTTCTTCGTATCTTCTTCATAATTCGGATGAGAATGTCTCGTTGAAATACTATCACCAATGTGGTCATTATTTTGATAATAAGCTATACAAATGTTCCTTATTACACTACCCAAACCGAGAAAATCAATGTTGTTACAAATATCTTGATAATTATCGGGAGTTATATAATCATACAATTTGTCATCATCTCCAATATACAAATATTCAAGAATCGATTCAAAAGTTTCGGGTGATGGTAAGATAATCTTCACAAGATCACCAGGCCTTACAGCGGTAAGATTTTCGTTAAAGTATTCAGATTGTGAGATAAGGAAATCTTTATGTACCCGAAACGGTTTATCAATACCCTTTACTTGTAATTCAAATTCACCGCTACTTGATGATCCACTTAAATATTGATTAATATCACTTTTATCAGGAATTGATATTTGGTATATAGCTTCATACTTATTATTAAACATGTCTTCAAGACATTCCAAGATTGAAGTATCAAGTGGTCTAGCCCCAGCAAGAAATACATGGCCTGAAAGAGTTATTTTGAAAGTCAATTCCTATAGCATAAACAGGCTGAAATTTTAGTATTTCATCAATCTTTTCCTTTCGGCTAATAAGTAATTCCTGCAACTTCTCAATTTCGATATATGAAGTCGCAGTAATTCCGGGAGACATCGTTGCTTTTATTGAAATATATTCTGATGAATCATAACAAACATTTAATCCATCACAACTATGAATATTAACGATAGGCTCATTAAGTTGGATACAGTTGAAAGGATTATTATCTATTGTAACATGAGTTGTAGTCTGATTTATTACAATTTCTCCTATTGCTTTTTCTTTACCTTTACCTTTATATTGATATATACCTATTTATTCAAAATAATACATTAAAACTTAATTTATATAATTTATAAAATATAAAAATATTAATTATATAGTAAAATTATTTTTGTATAATTGTATTCATAATCTTATAATTAATTTTATTTAAAATCCTAATTTTTTTCTTAATAAAATTCAATATTTAATTTAAATTACTTACTAATTTCATTATCTGTAATATTTAAAGCTTCTATTAAATTAAATAAATATTAATATTAAATAAATGTTATAAGTTTTATTTATTTTATAAATTTAATATAACATAATAATTACCAATACTTTGACTACTTTCTGCTAAATTATTAATATTTCGATTTAAGATCTTATTTAATTTTTCAGTAAAATTAAGTAATTGACTAATATGATATGCTTGTGGATGTGATTTAAAAATAACTTTATTATCATTAATAACATTATTATTTTGTATTTTTTTTAATACTTTATCTGCTTTATAAAAATCTAAAATATCATTTTTTAATTCTTTTTTAAAATTATTAGTAATAATATTTTCTATCCAATCTCTAATAATTTTTTTAATTTTTGATGCAATTGGTCTTTTTAATGGACCCATATCCCAACATTTTTTCATTAAATTTATATAACATTGTGAAATATTTTTAATAATTTTAGGACGTTTGTATTTACAAATATGTAATGCTAATAGAAAATCATGAGTTTTATTATCAAATGGAGGAATTCCATATATAAATTCCCACATAATCATAGAAAAGCTATAAATATCATTAGCTAAAGTATAAGATTGACCTCTTAAAACTTCAGGTGCTATAAATGGTAAAACACCATAAATATCATTATTTTTAGATGATTGAAAATATT